TTTTTTTTTTTCCTACTAACATTTTCTTTCAGGACAAAAAACCAAGAACTTTTCACTAAAAAGTGTTATTAGTAGGTCTCATGAAAACTTTTATTTTGATGCTATGATAATTGTTCTTACTGCATTTGCTGCCTCTAAGTATCATAAGAGAGAAATAAGTGGAGCTGTAAGAACAGCACTGTGAAGCGACGGCATTGCAACTGGCCCTGGAGGGCCAGAGATTTGTTTTAAAACATACAAAACATATATATTACTTATATATTATTTTAAGAAAATTAATAAATACTTTAAAAATTCCTCAACTTATTTTTCAATACTATCAACACTTTATGACCCCTTATTTAAAAACCTTTTTGAAATTCTCAATGATTTTTAAAACTGTAAAGGGATCCTAACACTAAAAATTTGAGGAGCACTGCTTTGAACTATTTTACCAAATTAAACATATCTCTAAGATGTATAACAGACTTTCATGTCATTTTAGGAGATGTGAAAAATACATTTTCTTAAAATACTTTTTCTTAGCACATGACAATATTTTTTGAGGCATTTGTTCTCAGGCAAGAAAATATTAGGATATGAAAGTAATTGGGAAGACATTTTAACAGAGGTTTTTTTTGTTACTATATTAGGCAGATCTATATGGCCTTCTATTTTTTTTTATCTTACCATAAGTTCTTGAACAATAAAGAGAAAGGGTGAACAAGAACATGGAAGAGTAGGTAGCCATGGCCTAGGAACTCATGTACGTATCATTTGTAAATATCTCAGTATATGTTCAGATATTTGGTTAACAAAGTTAAAGAATTCATGAAGTCACTGTGAAAAGTGGGATGCATCATCTTGGAGATACAGCTCAGCCGTAGAGCTCCTGCATAACATGCAACTCAGTGTTCGGTGCCCAGCTCAGCAAATGAGAGAGAGAGAAAGAGGCACACAGGGAGACAGGGAGACAGGGAGACAGACAGAGACAGACACACACAGACGGACAGAGACAGAAAGTGAACATCTGAAAATCCGATAAAAGGGTCCATTTACAGTCAATACTATAGCTGGGGAGCACTGGAGAAAATGCGATAACCAATTTATTCATGAACACTGAGTACTACATAATAAATAGTATTGCTATTAATTAGTCTACCACAATTCTTATATTACAGAAGTTTTTATAAAGTAAAAAACAAAACAAAAATTATGTAACTGAGTTACTAAATGAATATAAAATAATTATCAATTTTGGTGAAAAATTCAAAATGACACAGTGTGTAAACACAGATTTAACTGATGAATGAGGTGAAGAAAGGGGTATGGAAAAAGACCCCACCAGAACATCCCATATATTTGAACGAGCTAAGGAATTCATGCTACAAGTTACTAAAATCTTCCAAAACCAATGCCCCAACAGCCTATATATAGTTCCCTATTATACTTTAAAACAAAACTTTTCTAAAACTGAAGTTTTATTTATTTATATTATCCACTCTACACAATCAATATTTACTGAGTAACTACTATAAAGAAGGCTACCAGTATTTATGAGACAAGAAATGTGCTAATTGCTTTACAGTAATTTTTCCATTTTACCCTTAGCATTCTATGAGGTAGGTACTATTATGATCACCTTTTTAAAAAATACAGTGATTTTTTCACAAAGTCAATGGTTTACAAGAGCTTCAATTCTGACTCTGTATCTGTCATTTCTTATTCAACTGTGACAGGAGCTGTGCAATTTAGTTTACTCTTGTTCATCATTATTTAGTGGAAGAGAATTATTTTTAGAATTTCTGCTCTACATGTAAACAGAATGTGACAGATACAGTGACACACTCCTGTAATCCCAGCTACTTGGGAGGCTGAGGCAGGATAATTGCAAACTGAAGTCCAGCTTGGGCAATTTATAGAAACCCTGTCTCAAAATTTATTTATTTTTCCCCCCAAAATTTAAAAAAGGGCTGAAGAAGTAGTTCAGTGGTACAGCACCCTGATTTTAATCCCCAGTAATAAAAAAGCAATTAATTGTCCTTTAAATATATTTTTGATTTTAAGTGAATGGTCAGTACCATTGGCCCCAGTGATATCAGAATTCAAAAGAAACAGTTGTAATCAGGTGTAAGCTAAACACATATGCCTTCTGTTAAAATAAGAAAGAAAGAAAGTCTATGTAGCAATTCTAATTAGACAGTTCCTACATGATCTGGAAAATGGAAATCTGTGTGCCTGATCACCTATGGAGAAAGCAGGAAATCCTGTAAGTTGGAAACACTGCCTAGTCTCAAGAATAAAGCAGACATATCAATACGGTAAGAGGGAGTGCTACATCCATGCTCATGTCACATGTATGTGCATACCTGGACACGAAACACAGCCAAAGTCAGACTTTTGGCCAACCTACCTTGCCAATGATTTGTTATATAGAATACAGTTCCTTAAGCAGGGATCCAATTAATCAAAAAATGAAGTTGGGCAAATTATTAAAATTTTACCTAGCCAAAGTAACTATAAACTATGAAAATGTCTAACAGTCAGAAATCAGACAATGGGAATTATGGAATCTGAAAAACATTTAATGATGGTCCATACTACCTAGTGTTTTCTAAGTACACAGTTTTAAAACAATTTATGAACTAAAAAAGTAAGTGAAATAGTTTCCAATTAAAGAGTCTTTTAAAATATACCAAAATTTGTTAACACAGTCCTTAAAATCAGTGCCCTGGCATTTACAGAAAATATTAAAAGACCAACTAAATTTTATACTAGTTTTCAGTCAAAGAAAGATAAAGGCTAATAATAAGAGACTTCATAATAATATCAGGTCTGAAAATGACAAGTAACAACTGCCTAATATTTAATGGATTCTTTTTTTTCATTTTTCTAGGTTGTTATCCAAAGCCTTTTCTCTGTAGTGAGAAAGTGCACAGTTAGGTAAAAAATTGTTTAGTTTATTACAAAAAGATACGAGTTTGCATTATTATCCTTAAAACGAAGTTATCTCCCATTATTTATTACTTTTCATCTGCTTAACTTGAAATAATGAGAAGATATCTCAATTTCCAAAGTGACTGAAATTGCACAGTATTTTAAAATTTAAAGTTCTGGTTAGTAAGGTAATATTTACCTCACTAGAAAGTTCTGGCAATTTTAAAAAAGATTCCCTTATATAATTTGCTTTTACACTGACAATTTAATCATGATATCATAAAGTGAGAATCCAAAAGGAAGGGTAATTCTGATTCCTACACCTTGCATCTAGGGTGTACTGTTCAGAAAGTTTGCAAGCTGCCTCTGTATCACTGTGGATGATGCCTGGCATACAGGGGGCTTTGACCAATTGCTATTTTTATTTCTTGCATGCATCGTTAACTTCTAAGACATCAAACACCTTTCAACTGCTATCCATTTTTTAAAAGACTAAGAACTAAAAGATTAAAATGAAGGTTTGCAAACAGGGTGAATGACATCAACTGATCTCAGTGGCTAAAACATCTGGCAGATGCATTAAAGCAAGTTGTCTATGAAATAAACAAACTAACTTCAGAAAGAAAAGTCAACTGCTGAAATATGTCTTTACCTTCAGTTGTATTTCTCTAATAAGATTAGCAATGCAGCTTGATATAAAAAGTTCAGATAATCCTTCCCATTATGACAATTCTTAACTATAAGTGATCAGCAGGAATGGAGTGATAACAAGAGCATATTACAAAAATATCTGCCAATCCCATAAAATTTAGTACTTTAAATAATAAAACATAATATTAAAAACAATTTAATTATTTTGAATTTAAGCTTTAAAAGAACTTTACTTACTTGTTTCCACCTAAAAAGTAACTACTATGATGTCCTTGTCCATATTCTAACTGTAGATCCTAATAGTACAAAATAAAATATTTAGTGTAACAGCACAGTATATCATACATTGTAGCACATTAATACATATTATTTTTAAAAGAGAAACTCCAGACTACAAATAAATCTGTATTGCTATATATTCTTAAAAAGAAGGCATGGTACAACTTCTGACAATAAAAGATATGGCCTTAGGCCTGATTTTTATTAGTTGAATATTTTTCTGGGAATTTTTCAGAATGATATAAACAAGTTTCATTTATGGCTACTGCTATTGTAACAATAGCAATAACTATGCTATTAACATTTGTACTATCAGTTTTTAGAAAGAAAAAGGTCCTAATAAGATAATTATTCTCTTGCTATAAAGTAAAAATGATGAGAAAATAAGGGACAAAAACCTTGATTTGACTTTCTAAGTATATATACACATTCACATATTTCCACTGCTGCTTCAAGCAGGTAATTAATTTTTAAAATACAAAACTGGATGCGGTTTTTTAAAGTAAATTATAAATTTGAATTTGTACAACATTGTAATTTGAACTGAAGGACTTTTAAGAATATTTTAAAGCATTGTTGAATTCCTATCATTTTGTTTAGTGAAATTCTGTATCACTCCTAATTTTTTTTTTACTATTTTTTATTCTCTGTAAAAAAATTTTAAAAATCTAAAACCAAACCAAAACCAAGAAAGAATATTTTAAAGAGAAAATGGCAAAACTTCAAATGAATATTAAGGGAGCTCCTCAAGTATTTAAACATTTCTGTTGAGTGCTGAGGGCTGCAGTGCTAAGAATTAAAATTCAAAGGAATAAACAATGATGTGCTTAAGTTAGACACCTTCTTGAGAAAAAGAAATGTGCTTTTCAACTACCATCGAAAGAGTAAAGTCACTTCCTTAAGGGAAAAATGTCACCTGTGGGCAACCCATCAGGGACATCTCCTGATTCTATGGGGCTGTTTCTATTCCCTACTCCTTTTCTCCAATAAGTTTTCTTACTCATAAAAAAAAAAGGTCATTTGTATTCCAAACACTGTTTTAACTATTAGGGAGGATATTTAACAGTTTAAATAATTCTTATTTCCATTAGAATAGAGAGTAAATTGTTTTTTTATAAGATGTCATTTATGATCAGAACTTGGAAAAGTCAGCTTGGAGCATCCTTTGAAGGCAAGAAGATAGTAGTAGTACCTAAAGCTTCCAACACACAGATCTCTAGCACCTACACTACACTTCAGTCTATTTATAAGTATGTAAAACAACAGCCAGGCTGCCAACTCCTCAAACAAAGTCAAAAGGTCAAATCCATTGTACTTCCCTGTAGCCCGTGCTCTAAGATAGTACCTGCCACACCTAGGTAAAACCTGAACTGGCTTGTGCAAATGCCAACTGTTTATTGCTTATAAAAAGTAACACTTCATCTTTGTTAAAGTATACAAAGATAATCAGGTCACAAAAATACCAAGCCTAGGAATATGAGGATTCTAGACAACACATTATATTTCCGAGAATAGCACTTTAAAATTTAAGTACTTCAAAGCCAATTAAAACATATCTGATGAAAATCAAAATTAAAAGCCTGAGCTAAGACAAAGTTCAAATTTTGTCTTCTCCAATACTTGTATTATTCCATACATAATCAACGTCCTTACCAGTATCTAGTATCAAATGAAATCCTAATGAAAAAGCATATCTATTCTCTTTTCATAATAGTAAAAATCACTGGTATAAGACTGCTACAAAATTATTTTACTGCACAATTTTAGTGACTAAAACTTTATACAGAAATCTAGGGGCATGGGGAGATGGCTCAGTGGATTAAGTGCTTCCCTGGCAAGCGCAAGGGCCTAAATTCAATCCCTAGTTCTGCCAAAAAAACAAAAACAAAAACAAAACAAAACAAAAAGAAATCTTTAACTTTGGTCATCAGTAAAAGGAAATACTAATCTCTAGGAATACACTTCTAAGCTCAACCAACCTTGGAAGTTGAGCTTCTCAACCAACCTTGGAAGCCTGAATCAAACGATAGCTTCAAAAGCACACACTTGCGCACAGTGGACACAGATGTGTTATGAGAATATCCAGCTCCTCAGATTAAAGTGCCTGCTTAGGCAGAGGCAGGGGCTGGGAGTTCAAGTCCCCAACCTGCCTTGCTGGCCCTGCCCCTGGGGTGTGCTGAGATGGCAACTGAGACTGGGTGTGGTGGTGCATGCCTGTAATCCCAGCACTTGGGAGGCTGTAAACAGGAGGATCCCTACGAGTCTGATCAACACAGTGAGATTCTGTATACCCTGTCCTAAATACAAAAAAAAAAAAAAAAAAAAAGAATATCCAGCTCAACTGATAGATAAGTTATCTCTTAACAATGATTGAAAACAAAGTCAAGCGAGAAAAAGTGTATTTGGGAAGGCAAAGAGAAATATTTTAAATAACTAAAGTCACAGCTTAAGAGAAAACCAGGGTGCCAGGGGGATGACTCAGTAGAATAAGCGCTTGCCTGGCAAGCCCAAGGGCCTGAGTTTAATCCCTGGTTCTGCCAAAACAAACACACACCAGGCAGAGGCTCGTATGTAGAATAATATGCCATGGGAGAAACTGTACATAGATTTAAGTCTGATGAGTATGTATGCCACACACTGGAAGGCTTACCAGGATGACTAAAATTGAAGGGCCTTTTTCCTAATGATTTCTTCTCCCTAAATCAAGTTGTGCTGCATCAAGCACAGGGCAAAAACAATGTGCTAGTCATATTATCAAAGAAGTAGCACACAAATCCAGTATGTATCTAGTTTACTTTAGCACAACCATTATTTACCACGTACCTATTAAATGACAGGAATTTAGCCAGTAAATCAGATGAAGAAAATGAAAAGAAATAAATAAAAGGAAAGGAACAAAAGTAAAACTCCGATAAAGTTATTTTTTAATGATAGTCTAAGAAAGACTAATTTAAAAATCATTTCCAAAATGTATTTGGAAGCTATTTAATATTAATAAATGCTACCAAAATTATGCTCAGAAAGCACTCATAATAACCCAAGATGATGGTACTATTTGCCATCCTTAGTAACCTAAAAAAGAACACATTTCAATATGCACCTAAGAAAACATTAGTAGCATTAATCCAGGCATCAACATATTAATAAATGACACTGTTTGATTATTCATCAAGTAATGATACAGACAGACAACATGTAACAAGTTTCTAGAGTCAAGCTAAAGGCTCAAACAAAAGTTCCAGATGCTTAGCACAAGTATCTTTTGCATCAGGAAGTCCTACTTGCAGCAGTGCATTTTAATGAATGGAAAAAAACTCATAAACCTAGAATGAAGATTCTAAGAAAACATGGTGTGAGAAGCAACTGAAAATGAACAAAAGATGTAACATGGGACAATGGAAAAGAAAAATATGTACAATCACAAAACTCTTACTGCAGTTTACACCTGCATGAGATTATAGGTTATGGCTTCATGAGAAAACAGCAAGAAATAGAATTGGTAGAGATGGCTATCAACATACACACGCATGCACATTTCAGCAATATATCATAACCAGCAAAAGGAAAAATTAAAGAGGAAATTATTTTCCGCAGTTACAAACGAGTAAATAGGCCAGGTATGGTGGTGCATGCCTACAACCCCAGCACTCCGGGAGGTGGAGGCAGGAGGATAGCAATTTCAAACCCAGCCTACGCAATATAGCAAGATCCTGTTTCAAAATAAAAAAGAACTAAGGGGCTGGAACTGTAACTCACTGTGAAGGACCTGGATTTCAATGCCCAGTACAGACAGAGACAGGCAGAGACAAGCGGTAGAGACAAAAGATGAAAGAGAAAAATGATGGCAGAATTTCAACTTTTTATGGCAGAATAGATCATTAGTGAAATAACTTTTACTGTGGTATATGATGGACAGCAATTAACAGGAAGTGAACCAGTATAATGCAGAGAAGACTGCTTATTTCTTAAAAAGAAAAGCAGACGGTATAGGAATCCTAACTGATCAGGCAGGATTCTTACTAAAGCAAATTGAGAGGTCTTAAAGTGAGTAACGTGATTTCTGCATTATAAGCTTGGAAAGACTACCCGTAGCTGGGTATATTCACTAGGCCACGACTTTGATATGAGTACTAGTTTTATTTTTGTTGTGTTTTTAATCATTTATTTAGTTAGTATGTACAGGGTCTCACTACACAGCTCAGAATCATAGTGATCCTCCTGTTTTCAGTCTCCCCAGCATTGGGATTACAGGTGCGCGCCACCATGCCCAATTTTGGAGGCTCGCTTGGGGCTGGCATGACATGTGGTACTGGGGATCGAACCTGAGTCCTTGTGCTTGCCAGGCAGGCGCTTAGACCACTGAGCTATCTCTCCAGCCCTACTGCAATGTGGAGAAACACTAAAATTTTATGTCAATTGAAGTGACCCAAGCACAAAAGGATAAACAGTGTATGATTTTACTTATCTGAGATACCTAGAGAAGGAAAACTCACAAAGTAAAATGGTGGTAACCAGGTGCTAGGGAAAGGAATGAACTATCATTTAATAGGTGTGGAGGTTCAGCGTGGGAAAATGGAAACATGCCAGAGATGGGCTGTGGTGATGGTTGTGTAGCAATGCAAGTGTACTCACTGGCCGTGGATTATATAGCTTAAGATGGGCAATTGTATGCTATGTATATTTTAATACTATAAAAATCCCAGTAAGCTATGAGTCACAGGTGTTGGAGAGGGGGCTCTGAGAGAAAACCAAACACCCCCAATGATGTTGGGTAGAGTCAATATGAGATATGAATGAAACGTATCTCACATTCTTTAATGTATAAAGTCAACCTTACAAACTCACAGCCAAGCCAGGCTTACGTCAAGTCCCAACTACTTAACTAGAGAATTTCAGTTTCTATGCACTTTAAATGGCTTTACTTATAAACAAGGACAATGAGTCACTGAGCTGAGATATCTCTGAGAAATGCATCTTTAGGCAAGTTCTAGTGATCACTAAACTAAGGTGGCTACAATGTCAGCAGGGGATAATCTCACAGAACCACTGTCTTAAGATACTTTGTTGTTGACTGAACTGTCATTATGCAATGCATGACGGTACATCTTTAACTCTTTAATATCTGGTATATAACATCTTTTAGATAAGTTGTACATAAATGTTGCTTTTGTTGTCATTGACATTGAACTTTTTTTTTTTAATGTATTTAGTACAGGGTCTCACTATGCAGCTTGGACATGTAGTAATTCTGTTTTCAGCCTCCCCAACACTGGGATTACAGGCATGCACCACCATGCCCTCGCTCAGTGTGCCTGGGGCTGGAGCTGGTATGGCATGTGGTGCTGGGGGATTGAAACCTGGTCCCTGTGCTTGCCTAAGCTATCTTGCCAGTCCTTGACAGTGAGTTTTTAAGGTTGACTTTATACATTAAAGAATGTGAGCTATGTTTCATTCAGCCATCTTCTGCTAGAACTACCCACAAGGTAATGGTCCCTAATGTCCTCTTACATGACAAGACACAGTCATAGGCTACCCTGTATCACAAGAAGCTCTTCAGTCCAGGGTAGAGTGTGGACAACAGCCTGAGTAGTTACAGGGAACAGTCATGATGTAAAACTTTGGATACTAAAGCAGTTTGACATGTGGTACAGGAGAAATGATCTGTAACTCTTCTGTGTTAACTTTTGTGCATAGAGGACATTAATAAATAGTAGTAGCATCAACTTAAACTTTTCATGCTGTGGTCTTTTATTTTCATTAGTTATTATTCTTACCTACATATATCTAATTCTGAAGAAATTTTCGATCCCCAATCACTGAATATTCACTTTAGACATCGTATCTCACTGGCCCTTATGACAGTTGGCTCTCAGTCTTCATGCTTTCTGGCTTCCCAAGGATGTGATGCATCCCTCTGTTTTGAGAGAGTGCATCCGTCCTCACGTGCTAGTTACTTCCTCCTTATCTCAAGGTCAGCCCTCTCTTCCACTGGTATTAGCCCCTGTGTTAGGCAGTTTTCTGCACTCTTTCTTCAGATCCAACTACGGGAAATACATGTAATTTCATGGCTTTATCATTATCTTGCTGGTTAGCTGGACCTCCCTACCTCTTTGGAATGTTCAATCTGTGTACTGTACTGTCCAATACTACAGTTATTCCAATGGGAGTAATTAGCTCCCTAATTTCAGCTGTTTTGCACATCTCTTAAAATCGTGATCTGTGCCAATGACTATTCCCACATTAGTTCCACGAAACACAGAAAGTATGTCTATTCTCTTCCTGAAGAATCTACAATGGGTCCTGTACAATACTGACAGCAGTAAAGTCCCTCCCAGAGGCCAGATAAGCCACATCACCCTGAAGTGCTTCTCCTATAGCGCCTGTTACAAGTTAGCTTTCTCTTATCAGCATTTGGTAACATTTGGGCAAACAAATGAGTGATTGCAAAACTTTCAGAGCCTTCAATGGTAACAGATGGCTGCATATGTGTACCATAAATTTGCCACCACTGGTATTTTGTTGTATGACAAATAATTTACATGTGCAAGCATTTTTGTCACCAAAAAAAATTATGACTAAAACTTCTCATGTTCTATAAATGTTTGAAGATAAAGATTTGAGAATTTATATAAAGACTCATTTAAGCCAATCAAAATTAAAAGTAGTATGGAAAAGAGAGAAAAGAGAAAATTTTACTTAAAAGGTAGAAAAATAGAATCTTGGAGTAATATGGGGGCAATTTGGGGCTTTGACCAGCCAGTGTTAAAAATATTTTTTATTAATATCTACCAGGACAAATTGCTCACTTTTTTGGTAAATAGTAGTAAGATAATATTAATATTTATTACCTCAAGGATGTCATATAATCAGAATGTTTTTCCTGAGAAAAGTGGACATGGCATAATGCTACAAAACTAAAACTTCATCTGAAGATTTCATTGTTAACATGATTAAATTATTTTAAAATGAGTTTATATTTTAATTATTTTATATTATATATGAATCATATCAACATGACATATTTATATAACATATTTATTATATAACAATATGAATAGTTTCTTATATATGAATGTATATATATATATGTATATATGGATGATTTCTATTGAAACAAGTTAATCATTAAATGGGGTATTTTTATAGGGAAATGTCATTTCTTCAAAAACTTAGTACTTGAATAAAAAAGTTAAATACTGCTTTTCATAAAAGGACAAATAGTTTAATTACATTACATTTCTTCTTCTATTTTTTTTTTGAGACAGGGTCCCACTCTGTAATTCAGGCTGGTCTTGAACTCACTATGCAGCCCAGGCTGGCCTCGAACTCACAGTGATCCTCTGCCTCAGCCTCCCCAGTGCTGGGATTACAGGCGTGCGCCACCACACCCAGCTTCTGTATTACATTTGACTACACATACTAACTTGGAAAATGTGCTGCACTCATTAGATGGAAGCTTACCACATGGTGTACTAATTCATAAAGTGATAAAGAAAAGGTCTGATCTGAAAAAAAAAAAATCTAGACTTAAATGCTGACAAAGAAAATCAGAATATGAGAAATACCAGGTTAGATCTTGCAGTGTAGTATATTTCTTCTGAACTGTCGAAAAAACCTTCTGTGTCGGGCTGTTTAGCAGAGACCAAGAAACCTAAGTTATTTACACATAGACCGAAAGCCACAAATTTACAAAGGGAAACTCACAAAAAAGGATAAGGCCAACTAATACAACTTTTATTAAGGCAAAAGCAAAGTCAAATTGTATTAAGCAGCTTCTAAAAAAGCAACATTTCAACATCGTTGCTTTATAATGCAACTACTAATTAGTATAGACTTTAACTACATGCCCCGCCAGCTTCAAAAGAACAACAGAATAAACTCTAATTACCTTAACAAAATACAGTTAGCACTTAAACATATCATGGCTTTTTTCTCCATACTCTCCATTCTTCTAAATTAGGGCCAGGATTTTAACGTTGTAATATTTTATTACAATAAGATCATTTTCAGACTTTTTCTTTAACAATTTCTTTTTTCAGACTGGTGCACTGAATTAAACTATAGTACTTGCAAAAGTTAACAACTCCATCTGTAACTTTTAGTCAAGTGGGTAAAAATAAGAATTAAATTTAAGAATAAAGTCTCCACTTCAGTCTTTATTAACAGTTACTTTTGTCTCTTATTAAACAGAAAAGAAAAAAAAAGAGAACATTATCTGGAGCTCCATTTCATTTAGATTGCCAACTTTATTTTTTATTCTTCCATTGAATATTAACATTGCAAAGATTTGCAAATGGTTTACCTCCAGTATTGTATATAAAATATTAAATATCTGGAAAGGACTATACTAAGTGTCCACTAGGGGATGAGAATATTCATGGTTAGCAAAGCATGAATAAATGACAAACTTGGCCTCTACTGTGTCCTATATTCCTGCGTTTTAATACTCTGTAAACAAGTTGGATGCTACTTTGAGGCTTACAAACTACGGCACTTATTCTATAAAGTGCAAACATAAAAAGCCTCCCATAAATTGAAAAAAAACCCAAAACAAACCAACACAAAAGGCCAGCACTAAAAATATAATCAAGGAATGGTAAAACTCATAAGTTTCTCCTAAAATCATTTTGAGATAATCTCAGCAACACAGATTTATTTATTCAGAATTTGAGAATTACTTAGCATTGTGTTTCTCTAAACACTTTTGAAAATAGTTTTTAATTTTTTTTTTTTTTTTCAGAACCGGGAATTGAACTCAGGCCCTTGAGCTTACCAGGGAAGCACTTATTCCACTGAGCCATCTCCCCGGCTCCAATAGTTTTTAATTTAATACCACGACTAAACATTTATTTTCAATGTTAATTCTCCAAGACTACTTACAAGTTCATGATGTGGCTCTGTCTCCTTCCTTAAGGGTGGGTCAAATTTTACTTGACCAACTAAAAAAGAAAAAAAATGTTAAGCCAGAATCTGTTATATCTTCTCAATGATATAATAATTTCAAGGTTATTCCAGGAAAAACATGCTTAATTTATAAGCTACTATACATTCTAATCACAATCCAAAGATTTGAATAAATACTTCATTAGTTGGAGAAAGCTTAGAGAACTCTTTCTTTCCTTTTTTTTTTTTTTGGCGGAACCGGGATTGAACTCAGGCCTCGCGCTTGCCAGGCAAGTGCTTATTCTACTGAGCTATCTCCCCGACCCCCTAAGAAGTCTTTCTTAACCACCAAAAATTTGATGTTATGCATTCATAGGCCTTTTTGTAAGGAAAAAAAGATAAAATTATATGTATTTCAGTCAGACTTTTACTTGCTACTGTGCTGTGACCAGCAAAAGAGAGCCAACTTGGAGTTGGTATTGAGATAGCAGACCGCTGTGGATGAAGAGCTGCTATGGTGGCCGGTCTACAGCATTGCTCCTGGGCCTCCTGCCTCCTGGTACTCGGGTCTGCACTGTCCTCTTCCATGCTGGATGAGGATAAGGACCAATGGGTATGTCAAAGAGTGTGACACAGCTAATGGTCTTGGGTTTTCTCTACTGGATCAGTTACTCTGGAAAAAGCCCTTTTCTCAGTTGCTCTAAGGAGAGGCCATTTGGCAAGGAAGAGATCTTCCAGCCCAGGGAAGCTGTAGTGACACACTGTCTGTACCACCAGGAGAGGACTCGAGCAGGAACCTCTCAGCTAAGTGAGATTCCTAACCCTCAGAATGTTTGTGAGGGCTAACAATAACACGTTTATTGTTCTGAACTACTAATTCTGGGGAATAATTTTCTACATAGCAATCAATATACATCTAAAGTACAAACTATACAGAGTAGCTATGAAATAAATGTAGTACAGTCACCTTCTTCTTTGCTATTCTCAGCTACCTTCAATTTTTCTATGCCATTATCTAGTTTTATAACTGGGGTCAAGTATCCAAGATCACTGAAACAAAATTAAAGGCATAAACACCAGTATTAAAAGGAAGAAAAAGAGGTAGTCACAGTGAAGTTCAACTAGTAAGAGCTTCAGCCAAAACTAGCCATTGTCAACTACAGTAAGGGAAGTCCCAAACCATAATGTATTTGTTTTATGACTGTTAATATTAGTTAAAGGAAAACATGAAGTTTGAATAATTAGTAACTGCTGGAGGAGTATGTTTAAAAAAGATTAAGAAACATACCTCTATGACACCCCCAGTTTGTGTGCTGTCTGTCTCATGTACATGCTTACGTGTGAGTGGGTGTGTGTTTGTGCAAGTGCTGGCTTTCTAGCACTTATGTGTGGGTGGGTGTATGTTCATGCAAGTGCTGGCTTTTTTTTTTTTTTTTTTTTTTTTTGCGGAACCGGGGATTGAACTCAGGCCCTTGTGCTTGCCAGGCAAGTGCTTATTCTACTGAGCCATCTCCCCAGCCCCCAAGTGCTGGCTTTCTAGCTGCTAATGTCTCAGATATAAAATTCTGGCCCTCAGAGATAAGCAGGCTCTTTAAGGACGGGTCCTTAGAAAGGAGTGTGACGGAACACACTCATAGCCCTAAAACAGGAAAATCACAAGTCTGAACCTACCTAGGCAACTTACTGAGACCCTGTCTTAAAAATTTTTAAAAGGGCAGGTGAGCTAACTAAGTCTGAAGGTCTTGGGTTCAACATCCAGGACGTGCGTGTGTGCGCGCGCGCGTGTGTGCACATGTGCACACATGTATATACATACATACTCATGCCTGTTCATATTTGATCATAAAACAAGGATAACAAAATAATTTATAGTAAGGTATTAAACTAACATAAACCTCATTTTGATCAAGGCCAATTAAACAGTTTTCCCTTACTAAAACAGATCACTGTTCCAAGCACACCTTTACAGAAAATAGCATTACTGAGCATTTTTGATGTATCACCTCTCACATGTAATAAAATATCCTAAGAATTAGATATTTACTAAAACAGTAAGACTTGAAAGTCTCAAAAATCAAACCTAGAAATTATTAAAGTAGTCTTTTCTAATCCTGTTGCTACTTACTTGTACCAAAAGGATACGACACCCATAATACTGGCCATCGTGGAAAGAGGATGCCCATTAATTACCTGCAACCCTGAAGGAGGGTTTATAAGAATCCCAGGAAAATTGGAGTTATACGTATGTAGTCTCAAAGAGTGTACATTTGCTTATAGAGGATACATATGCATACACACTTAGGAGTTGTGAATCACTGATATAAATTAGGAAGGAGTAATTCAGACATAACCTTCTTTTGCTATGAAGAGCCTGAAAATATAATCTTTATTTTTTTTGTTTTATGGAAAAAAGGTAAAACAAAATTTCATAACAAATAGGAAAATAACAGTTATATATTGCATATTGCTATCTTTAAAGTAGTTACTCAGCGCACAAAACGTGGGCATAAAAATTTCTCCAGTTGCTATTAGCACAAGCTTTCCTTTTCAATGAACTAATGCAATTTTTAAATAGAACGAGATACCAAGTGCTTTAGATTTTTAATAGCACTAAACAAATTTTTCTAAAGCAACTATACAGACATCTTTTAATTATTTTCATATACTCAAAAATAATACGTAGTGCTCAAATGCTACAGTTGCCATTTTCATGAACATACTTTGGTGTGAGAAATTAGGAAATTTAAAACGTAGCTTCAGGAGAAGCTTCAAAGGTAATTTAAGAGAGTCACTCAACTGGTAGTTGGAAGAGTCTCAGAACCCCCTCTTCAGTGTTTCAGCGTTTTCAAGGATCTGCACCTTCTCAGGTACCACAAGAACAAGGCTCTGCCCACTAACACAACACGCTCTACACACTTAGCCAAAGTCTCACGCACAGGTGCCCAAACGACTCCCACTAGAAAGGTCACATGGCACTCTGAGGCGGTCCCTAAAATGGTTCTTGAATGTAAAGGCATCCTGGCTGGCTAGAAGCTGGCAAGCTACAGCTTGCTGCTAACTCAGTGTGACTCGCCTACGTTAAGCCTCTGCACCTCTCCATTTCCTCTTGGTTTTCTCAAAATGCTAACAGTTTGGGCCCCTACTTGTCCTGCCTGACTTCTCAGTGTGAAGGTCCTTGCTTCAACCTTGGATTCATGTTAATAACAGCATAAGAAGTACTATTCTCAGTATTACTGTAGCCAAAAATTGAGAACAATTATACAGCAGCAGTCATCTTAGTTATATTAACTAATTTCAATAAGGTCACGTAATATTCTAGGTCTCTCAGTAAGAAAATTATTATTATTTTTGGCAGAACCTGGGATTGAACTCAGATCCTTGCGCTTGCTAGGGAAGCGCTTAATCTACTGAGCCATCTCCCCGGCCCCTGAAAATTATTAACTTGCACAAAACTGTTATCAAAAGAAAAATGTTGGCAGGAGTGGTGATGCACACTTATAATCCCAGTACTCAGGAGGCTGAGGCAGGAGGTTTGTTGCAAGTTTGAGGCTAGCCCGAACTGCTGAACTATATATAGCAAGACCTGCCTCTCAAAAAAAAAAAAAAAAAAAAAAGAAAAAAATAAAGAAGTCTCAAGAAACGTAGATGTTAAGCAAGTTTGCACACCTCTCTCTCCCAAAGGAATGAGAAAACTCAACTTTTATAGCCTTAATTTAATTTTGCTTACCAGTATTTAGCAAGAAAAAATATTTGGAAAAAAATAAAACAAAACATATAACTAAATTATAATTTGAAAACTTATTTTTCACCATTAAATTATGGACAGCATATAGAATATACTTACAATTTATTTCTGAACGTGTTTTTTCTTCTCTCACATTTCTACTTGTTGAGTGAATTCTATGTGGTACAGTAACAAGAGGCTAGAGAAAAAATCAGTGATATCTGACTTTATATAATCCAGTCTTCCTTTTGTTCACAAAATTATTCAAATATAAAAGAATATTTCATTTGATAGAAATGAAAACAAAATACATCAATTCTGTAGCATTTTTATAAAGGTCATCGCAAGAGTTCTAAGTATGAAGGTAAAAACACTTTTATTCACTTAATTAAGCCTATCTTTACTAGTAGAGTGCACATATAAAGTTAAATACAATAATATATTCTGCTTATTTGTGTATGCAAAATTGGACTTACTAGATTCATTTTAAATTGACAGATTTCTTTGCTTTTTCTTTTTGTACCAGGGATTGAACTCAGGACCTTGAGCTTGCCAGGTAGGCACTTATGCTGCTGAGCTATCCCCATGGAATAGATTCATTTTATAGTAAGTCAACTACAGTAGTACTTTAGTTCTTTTCTGACACTGAGAAATTATGCAGTGTAAGCCAGGTACGTTTAATACAGGCTTGTAGTCCTAGCTATTCGGGAGACTGAGGCAAAGAGATTTCTTGAGTGCAAGAGTTCGAGGTCAACCTGGATGATACAGCAGGACCTGTTTTTAAAAAATTAAATTAAAATGAGGACGGAGAAAGGGAAAAGAAAGATAACTCTGTAAAAGTTTAATTTTATTTTTAATTTTATCTATCATTTAATGATGATTAATTTTTTTTTTTTTTTTTTTATGGAACCAGGGATTGAACTCAGGCCCTTGGGCTTGCCAGACAAGCGCTTATTCTCCTGAGCCATCTCCCTGGCCCCTAAATTCAGATGCCCTTGATTTCAAAAAATTTATTCTTCAACTTAGGTTTTCTTGAAGTACTGTTTAAAATATACACATATATTTACCTATAGATAATAGGGCATAACGCTTTGAATTTCAGTTTTTGTCATTTGAACCAGAACTGATTTAAAAGACTGCTGAAGAAAACTGTGCAACTTACAATTCTGCCTATGTGAATTTAGAGCATTTTAAGTTTTTCAGACACTCCTCGTCATTAAAAAAGCTCTTAACTCTGTCTCAGTTTCTCCGGAGTAGAGGTTCAGTATATCATTATAATCCCCGAGAGCAGAAAACAAGTCAATATTCTATCCTTTCCCTTTAATTTGTAAAGATGCTTCACACCTCAGAATTATTTATAGAACCTAATTAGTTAAAAGTGATGACAGTGGAATACTAGAAAAGTTATACTCAGGATGTTTTCAATGTGATATTTGTCAAACGCTCTAATATGAAAAAAGAAAGAACTAAAAAATATGGTGTAAGGAAACTCTTTGAAATTGGAGCCTCAAGCTCATCAGGAACAAAATAAGCATCTGTTGCAAGAAGTTAAACGATAGATAAAGAAAAACTATCCAGGACCCAAAGACCACAGTCCAACATTCAGGACAGAGTTCATGAACTAAACACTTGACTGAATTTTCCTTTCACATGTACTGGTTCAGATGGTTGTATAAAAAAATACTGCTTTTTTTATTGCCCCCAAAACTTATATTAAAAACGACAGTATTTCATATTTACGAGAAAAGAATACAAGATTCTGCTAAATGAGGTCATGATAATGAAAGACAGCTACTTGGACGTTAAAGTAGGCAGCATGTTAGGCACAGTCTACTATAATACTAAAGAATCTGTTTGCTAATAAGGAAGATTTCACTCTAAGATATTATTTCTTTTGCTAAAATCTTTCATCTGAATTCAAAAAGGTGGGCCCAGAGAAAAAAATCCTTTATTATTTAATTTTTCAAGCACCATGCAAGTACAGTCTCAAAAAATTAAAATTAAAGCTTTAATTTCTAAACATGAGCAGTCTCATTAGTCTCAAAAAATACAAGGCATATTAGTCATGGAAGCTGGCTATTCTGAGTAAGTAATTATACTAATAAATGATATTTGAAAATGTAATGAATTAATCATTCTAATAAATAGTATTTAAAGAAACCTTTCACAATGATGTATGGTTTTCAACATTTTAAAAACAATGCTTTACATGTCTTCTGACTAAACTTCTTTTTACTTATTACTTCCTGAAAATATAAAACCCTGCCCTAATATACCACTTCATATTACTCAAGCTATTATAATCTAAAAGATCTATAATTATTGTATCATTAAGCAACATAAATACAAATAATAGGCCCTTTGCAAGGGAGCTAGATGAAAATGTAAAGTTTGTATCAACTGAAGGAAAGATATAGGCAACGTGATAAACACTAGTGAACACTGGTCTTTGGGTGAGTTTTGTACCTGAGAAGACATCTGGTAATATCTGGGGACATTTTTGCTTGTCAGAGCTAAGGCTCCATGGGAGCTACTGGCAAATGCTGGGAAGGTGCCAGGGATGCTGTGAAACATCCTGCAATGCACAGGGCAGGACCCTATAATGAAGGACTGCAGGGGCAAAATGGCATGTAACTTTGGGTATGAAATTCTGATAGAAAGGAGAAAAGGCATATGCTGAATCATGAAAGACTTTGTAAAACTCAAGTTTTAAAAAACAGAATTAAGCAAAACAATAAAAAACTACTTAGTTTAATTATTTTTTTTTTTTTTTTTTTTGGTGGAACTGGGGATTAAACTCAGGCCCTTGCGCTTGCCAGGCAAGTGCTTATTCTACTGAGCTATCTCCCTCCTGCCAGTTTAATTAGAAAATCAATCAATATTTATATTTCTTAAGTTTTATGTTTCCAAATGCCTTTCTAGAGCTTTAACAACAAAAGGACTGTCCAATCATGAAAGCTGCACAGATGGAATGATGCTCAGTTCATAGCAAGATTTTCTCTGAAAACAAGCTGACCATCTTCTTCTCTGAGAGGTTTCATAAATAGCTAGATACCACAATCATTAACAATGCTAGTCATATTAAATATGCTAACAAAAGTGATATTTGCATTATATTATTGCCTCCAGCATATAAATGTATTGATTCATTTTTATTTCCATAGTTGTCAATTAGAAGTTTGTCCAAAGTCACTGTTATACTTTCTACCAATCTATAATAATTTATGAAGCACATTAAGAAGGTTCTCTGAGGAAAAAGTAAGAAGAAACTCCTAGCCTATTCTAGCATCTTGTTTAGATACTTCCCATTTACTTCCCCTTTTACGCTGTTATCAGGCAACTTCATTTCAAATGACTACTCTAAAATAACTGCAGTAATTTTAGCAAATAGATTAAAAGATTCTGCCTTTGCCATTTTCAGACAAAACTCATGTAAACATAGCGCATGACATTCCTGGACTAAGTCAAAGAGTTAATTGTTCCCTCCAAGAGTTTTAAAATTTAGAATAGATCCAGAAATTAAAACACTACTTTATAAGCATGTGGATGCACGTGTGCGCACGCGCGCGCGCGCGCGCACACACACACACACACACAGAGTAGAAAGGATTTGTACCTCAGGATCGTCATCATCAAAATCATGGTAAGTAGAATGATCGGGATTATTCACTTTGTCTAGCAGCTCTATTGCCAAAGACCGGGTCAAAGGCTGTGTGACGAAAGGGTGCTATAAAAACAAAATAATGGAGAACATATATTAGAAATCTGATTAAGTAGGACTTTATCTTTTCAAAAGCAAGTACAGTGAGGGTAGAAATAATACCTGTAGCAACTTTTCAGCAGTAGGTCTTTTTTTGGGATTTTTGGTAAGAGCCATTTTCACAAAATGATGAAAACTATTTGACCTAAAAATTTTGGAAATTAGATGATTTTAATTTCAATTTTTTGGCTCATCTAATAAAAATAAGTATCACAAAAATACTTACCACTTCATTTTATCCTTTAGTTTAGGAGGCTGAAAATTGCTTTTTGTCATTAGAAATAATGCTCTGAAAAAAAATCATATAATTATGTAGTGTTTTAATATTTTATACTTCAATACATAATATGAACTACACTACTATTTATTCCCAGGTAAGACAAAGCAAGTTTAAGGGATTTATTTATGACATAATAATTAGCTCTAAAGAAAATTCTCTTAATGTAAGGGTAGGATTCTGCAATCTGGACACACCGACCTCATTGGGTGCAGGTCAAACATGGGCGGCTGCAGCTCGGCAAGCTCTATGGCGGTGATTCCCACCGCCCAGAGATCACAGAGCTGGTTGTACCCTCCTTTCCTTTCAACAGCTGCGACTTCGGGAGCCATCCTGAAAGAAACATTCCAGAAAAGAAAACACTTCTATTTAACATACTTTCTATTGCCATTATACTTCCACCAGAAGCTCTTATAGAAATCACTATTTAAATTAAGGACCGTAGGCCTTAAGATATTTAATATTTGAAAAGTTCACATTTCCCAAGAGCTTGATAGCTCCTAAGCCCCTCCACTGCAAGTTGCTACTGGTGACTCCTCTGTTACTTCATTATAATAGCACTTACTACACAGCTTATAAAAATGTACAACTGTAAGAAAGCAACATGCCTCTAATTCACACACATTCTGGTCTCTCTTCCATATATATGAAAACTATACAGGAACTGTTGCGCTACCTCCTCATATCAATAAAATGCAATCTGGTCACTGTTTCTACTTCACCAAAATTATTTCTTAGACCACTAATAATTTTAAGATAAGTATTTCATATAACATTTTTGGTACTTTCATTATAATGTTTAAAAATCATGAAAATGAATATCTATTATTTAAAAATGTGTTTATTCTGAGGAAAGTTACCAAAATTTTTATAATATTTTGGTTTCTTTCAGTTTTGCTACAGTCTTTTTCTTTCTTTCTTTTTCTTTTTTTTTTTTTGCGGAACCAGCAATAGAACTCAGGCCCTTGTGCTTGCCAGTCAAGAGCTTATTCTACTGAGCTATCTCCTCGGCCCCCCTTTTTTTTCTATTTAAATCTTGACTGATTTAAATGATTATTTTTCAAATTATCATTTAAGATTCAAATTCTTGAATCTTAAAAAATAGATTGAAAACAAGTAATTAGGATAAATATCTCCACTCTTCCATATGAAAAGAGCAGTTCAGACAGACAGTGTTACAAATACACATGTCTTCCTAGTATGTCTTTAGGAAAGTCAAGTTAATCAGGTTAAAAAATAAAAACCCTTTCAACCTTCAAATGTTTGGTCCCAAAATCTTTTTAGGACCTGGAAACAGCTCTTATAAGAATTTGAATCACGGCAAGAAAAGAGAAATGTAAACTACGTTGGCTATTACCTTACTGATGCTATCTTTGTAGGAATAACCTGGAAAAGGGCAACATGCACATGGTGGAAGCTCTGTGCGCTCCCCCCAAACCCCCGCCCGTGTCAGCTGACGCAGCAGCGCTCGGCAGGGCACAGAGCTCGCCAGCTGCTGCCCTTCGCTCCCAGCCACGCCATGCACCTTCAGTCAGCAGGGTGCCTCTCTGAACCTTTTTATTTCAGGTATATTTGCTACTGTGCATACACAGTTTTATTTTTTCTTTAGATACAGCATAGTGACTATGAATTCTGAGTGATTATAAAATGTTTTATTTTATCAGCACACATTTGTAGTATGTAATGACTGAACTTGTCCTCAGAGTTGGTGCACGGGTATAAACACATCTCAATTCTTTATCCTAGTTCCCTCTCTTCTCTGTACCTCTCAGTCCTCTTCCTTTTGTAAAGACCTGCTGCTCTTTATTTATTCATTTATTTAGAGACAGGGTCTTACTATGCAGTTTCAGGCTGGCCTTGAGCTCACTGTGTAGCTCAGGTTGGTCTCAAACTTGCAATGATCCTCCTGCCTCAGTCTACTGAGTGCTGAGATTACAGGTGTAAGCCACTATACCTGGCTACTCTGTCTTTATCATATTCTGCTTTTCAATTTAAGTATACTTTGAGTTTCTCATGTATGGAAAACTGTGATATTCAGCTTTGTTTGTCTGACTTATTTCATCTAACATTGTAGGTATAATGATTATAAGTCACAAGGTATGACCATTTTCCTACAAATGACTCAAATTTATGCTTCTTTATAGGACAGTAGTACTCCACTGTGTATAAATACATTTTCTTACTCCATTAATTTGCTCATGGACATACAAGCTTGGTTCCAAGATTAGCTATGATAAATTGCTGTAATTTAGAATAATGTATGCATTTATCACTATAACACAGTGTCTTTGACTTTTCCAGGACAATATCTGAAAAGGGAATAGCTGGGCAATTATTTAATTATTATGAAAATGGATTTATTAAGAAGATTAAGAAGTTGTAATAAAAAACGAAAACATTAGAAAAATTTGTTAAAGACAAATTCCTAAAAACAAGCCCTAGAAAATTAGTTAAGAATATGGCAACTGTATAATACAGTATTGAGGAGGTAGAAGATTATATGATTCCATTGGCATGATATTAGAGAAAATGGCAACACTACAGGGACAAATCAGATCTAGAGTCACCTGGGGCAAGGAATGAAGGAAAGGATTTACTCAAAAGGGACAAAGGAAAAAATGGTTTTTGATGATTGAAATCTGTTTTACCTTCATTGCTCAACACTCATAGAATTATATACTTAATATGGTAAAGTTACACTTAATTTATACTGCAATAAAAATAATAAATCAGGAAATGTAGCTAACACATTGTGAATGTGGCTGCTAAAAGAAAGGTCTTTGTTGTTACATAAAAAATAAATGCACAGTTAATAGCCTTTAGGTATATATTTGGGGTATAGGTGTATTAATTTTTAATTTCCCACTTTGGTAGACTATTTTCATGGAGTAACTACCAATCTACTCACTTTGAAGAGTCTATATTATCAGATGTGGGTGGGGAAGACATGATACAGAAAGAAAGGTACTATATGTGCAAGTGTGAGTGAGACATGAATGAACTTTACCTAAACTCACAATTTCACATTTCTGAGATATTTCCCACTTTTGTAAGAAGAATGAGATTTTAATTTCTGGAAATGGTGGTGGAGATCATTTCTCATCACCACTGCATACACAATCAAGCTAGACTCTTGAGAGGCACTGAGATAGTTTCTCCAAATGTTTAAAATCAAACTGAGAACACAGAGCAGAACTTAAAAATACTGACAGTTCTTTCAATCCCTTAGTCCTCTCAAAAATTAAATCAAAATAGTACAGAGAACAAAGAAAAATACAAACATACATCATCTTTAAAAATCCAGGAGATATTTTATATTTACTCAGAATACCTAAAGACTAGAAATCAAACATTAGATGATGGAGCAAACGCAAGGGCACACCAAAGGTGCAGCAAGAAAGAAATAGCAGTCCAGTTATGCTCAAAGAATCCTGAACATGGTGACAAGTTAGGGTTAAAGGTAACAAGAACAAGTTGAGGTTAGCCGAAAACAGGGATCATGCTGTACTTGAAATTGTCTTTGAAGGAAAGTAAAATACAACGTTTCAGGAAAGAAAGCCTTCATCAGGAAAGTGAGTTTTAAAAGTCAGGAATTGTTACAGAAAGTAAATAAAAACTTTTTTTTTTTTTTTTAAGTTAGAGAAAATTAATGGACTAATTCAAGTGGCCCACAATATAATTAACAACTTCCAGAAAAGACAGCAGGCAAAGTGTAGCAAAGACACTATAAATAAAAAAGAGAGATCATTTTCTAGAGTTAAAGACAAATCTCTGGAATAAAAAGTACAAAAGATGAGCTGGTGAGATAGCTCAATGGTCTAAAGTGCCTGCTGGCCTGAGTTCAATCCCCGGTTCCCCAAAAAAGTGCCTGCTTAGGCAAGCTTAGGCAGGTGCAGGGACCATGGTTTGATCTCCAGCACCACATGCAACGCCAGCCCCATCCCTAGTATAGACTGAACAGGTAACCAAAAAAAAAAAAAAAAAGATAATTACAAATAAAGATAAAAAAAATCCAAAGCCTTTTTAAGTGCATCAGTGCAGAACATCAGGAATGATCTCTTGGGGGAAGAGCTATATCCTAAAAGAAGAATGTATAATCACACCTCCCACCAGAATCAGGGAGCAGAAGGCACTACAGCAATACCTCGAAGCTTCCAACCTAGAATTCTATACCCACCCAATTACCAATAAAGAGCAAGACTGGACAGACATACACAGTCTCAAAAATTTTACTTCCCATACACACTTTATTAGAAGGATACTAAAACAAGTGTTTCACTAAAAAACACCAAGGCAGAACAGAGTGAATCATAAAAAAGGAAGATCTGGAATACAGAAAAGGAATTCCTAAACTGAAGATGAGAAGCTCCCAAGGCAAAGTTATGCAACAGAGATGGAGAATAAGCAGACTGGACTGGGAGAGGTGTGGAAAGGGCTCCAGAAAGGATTTAACTAGGGGGGAAAAATCCACATGTTAAGCAAGGCAAAACTGACTGAACAAAAGTCAGAACTAATAGTGTGACAGGCTTTACTGTATAGAAAATTTTATGAAGGTATCTAAATGTTTCTAAATGCTAAGAAATCTGCACTTGATCTTGCAGTCAGAAAGATATATCAAAAGGGATACTAGGCAAAAGGTAATATTGAAAGATTAATCAGAATACAGAGACATTAAAAAATACCTGTAAAAATGCAGGGTACGTGTAGAAGCAAGGGTCAGGTTTTCTAGCAGAGCTGGTAGGTTCCTGAAAACCATTTCAGTCTTTAGACCTTTTTGGTGTAATGAAATATGATATAGTGGAATTTTTTTTTGTCATGTAATCTATCCACAAGAATACATGCCGAAATTACTTCACCAGTTGATGACCTTCTTACTGTAGTCTTAAATTTTTTCCTCAGTGTTTGTTGTAAAAAATGTATCAATTACAATATGAACACAAAAATTAAAAATCAATGAAAATACAATTACCAATATGGTGTACCAATGAAAGACTTCCGTTTGGCAATAGTAGCTGTTATCTGTGCAGATACTCCAAAATCAGCTGTTAAAAAAATGAGAAACACTTAACTGAGTAAAATTGCTTAAGGTAAATATGAGAAGAAACTTACAATAAGTATTTTCATTAGGTTAACTGCATAGAAGTATGAGATGTTCTCAAACACCCCATTAAATTTTTTAACTGTGATGGACCTCTATTAAAATATCCCCAAAGAAGGCACTGTTACAATCAAATAGATTTCCATGTATCCACACATGAATCAAATGATCAGAGGTCAAGATAAAGTAACCCTGATGAGAGACAGCTGAGAGAAGTCAATACTGGAAGACTTATTAATAGTCTCTAGCTTCCAGGCCTTACAATTCAAGGCGCGTCCCTGGAAGCACATAGCAGTACATTCCATTTGCTCTTCTCAAGCTCATGACACTCACATGCAATATATACACCAAGTCTGCTGGTAAAGCAAAGTAACTTGAAAAGCTCCTACTAAACACAACCTTCCAAATCTTGCCCGGGCAATATATTCTTGAGAAGGATTTTTTTTTTTGGCCTGGCCTAGGCTGCCTTAATGGCAGGTGTGGTGTGTCATGTGGAGCTGGGGATCGAACTGCAGTCCTGCAAGCCTGACTGGGTTTTCCCAGGCAGGTGCTTAAACAACTGAGCTAACCAGCAAGCCCCCCGCCCCCGCTTTTTAAAAACTATTTTTATTTATTATTTGACACAGGGTCTCGCTATGCAGTTAAGACTGCATGACATGAGGTACTGGGGACTGAACTTGGGTCCTTGTGCTTGCTAGGTAGGCGCTTAGACCAGTGAGCTATCTATCTCTCTAGCCCCAATACTGATCAGATTCTAATTTTATAAGGAAGCAGCATTGGTTTTTTTGTTTTGTATTTTAGGGAAGGAAAACAAAATACAAAGTTGTATTTTGTTTTGTTTTTGTATTTTGTATATTAGGGTTTTCAGGGTCTCACTACTAGATTGGACTCTAGTGATCCGCCTGTTTACAGCCTCCGAAGTGCTTGGATTATAGGTGTGCACTACCATGCCCAGTCTCAATTGCTGTTTCAGCGTGCCACAGGAGCGGGGGCAGAGCTAGTAAGGCAGGCCCAGGGATCAAACCCCTGGCCCCTGCACCTGCTTGTAGGAACTTTAATCCGATGAGCTACTTGGCAGGCCCTCCTGGCAATATATCCTAATGCTAACACCAATCACTAATGGGAATTTGTTATTATTTTTAAAAATAAGTATGGTCAGTTCTAGTGTTTTCTAACATATTTAATGATTGCTAAATATATAACTAAGATACCCACATAATATATCTAAGCAAAGCATATAAAAACAGCCACAAAATAATAAGTTTCTGACACAGTATGTTCACAGGACTTCAGTTTGATAACTGAAAACAGGACCTACCCTTTTGGCTTTCCTTATATTTATTGTACTTGGGAAAACTTTATTATACGGCAATTATTAGATAACTTTTTAATCTAATCAGTTCTATAGTAAGCTACAGTTCAAAACAATTTTGTTTTTTTCCTTTATCAGTTGAAACTAAGGATTAAACACAGCAGGGCCTTGTATATGCTAGGTAAATACCATCACTGATCTACATCCCAGCTATGCATATTTTTATAAGATAAACACATTATTTATTTATTTACTCTGTGGTACCAGGCATTGAACTCAGGACCTTGCACTTGCCAGGCAAGCACTTATTCTACTAAGCTATCTCCCTAGCCCTGAATATATATTTTTAATTGATTTGTCCTAAATAGCTCAAAATAATCTCACATTTTTATTAAATAATTCATTTAATACCTAATAGATATGACTTTGTTAATAAAACTACTGCTCGGAACTACTGTCTTAGCCTTTAAAATTTAGCCACTGTTTAGATTTTGAATTCTATTTTAATCATAATTGATCAGAAGTTACAAAATGAAAAATGAGTTAAAAATTAAGCCAAATTCAGTACCTAAATTACATCATTATGTAAGTGATGCTGTATTTTGCTTTACAACTTTAAGAGCATAGCATTTGAGTTATTGAATTTTTAATTTTTATCTTATTTTTCTGTTGTAGAGTTCATTTTGTACAGATTTGTTACTAGAAGTCACAGTCCTGCATTTAGGGTAAAAGAATTCCTAGAGATATTATTTTACAGTATCTCTGCAACAAGTCTGTCTTACGTGAAGGACAGATTTTTATCTGTATTTATGAGAAAAGGAATAGGATACTGTATAGATAAAGAGGTGACATACCCCACAAAGACATTTCTACTTAAATATATAGTGTCCTAGGAGAAAGGAAACCTAGTCCTACAAAAAACAGCAAACAAACAAACAAAAAAAAAACTTAATCATATTTAAAAACAGATTTGAACATGTGACAAAATTCTCATTTACTTACCCAATTTCACATGACCATTATCCGTTAATAGAATGTTAGCTCCCTTGAAAATGAGAACACATTTTAGTCAAAGTAGGTGACAGGCATTTTAGCAGATAGGGCATATAAGACTGGATACACATATTTAAAATAATCACAGCCTTACACCCAGAAATGGTTGAAATTTAAAGTATACTCAATTAAAACGTTAAATCATTATATTTATAAGAAAATGTACTTTTCATTTTTTTAGGCAATTTGACAAAATTACAAAAATATTTGGTTTTAAAAAACTGCTACTAACATGGTATGTTAATATGAAAGTGATCTATTAAGTTTTCATCTAATTATTTCCTCACTGATCACATACCACCATTATACCGAATGCTACTTCACAATGGCATTTTCAATTCCCTTAAACTTTTATTGCTATTTCTTGTTAAAACAACAAAACCAACCTCCTTCTTTAGAGACTCACCATCACTGAACTTGTGCTGGTGTGGGGCTGCCTACACTTGGTACATGAGACTGTCTAGCCTACTGGATTCCCAAGAGTTTAGAGCCGTCAAGTAAACAAACACACAAACTGGTAGCACTGAGTCCAATGGTATTTCAGGTCTCTCCCCCTTTCTTTCCTGCAATTTTTGAGTAAGCATGCCAGAGCTGGTAGCTCTGTAAACCAAGGTACCATCAGTAATTACATATTGGACTGGGCAAAAACAAAATCGGGTGAAACCAACTCATCATCCCAAACAGAAGAGGAAGAAACAACAGAAGAGGGCAGAGGGGAGAGGAAAAGGGAGATTTCCAGGTTTCTCAGTGTCATCACTGAATCTAAGAAATGTCTACCGATATTACTATGGCTCTATGGAATAATGGGGGGAACAGAGATAAAAGAGAAGAAACTAGAGCAGGAATTTAACTTATATGTGCCCCTGCTATCAAGACCTCTGCAGACTTCAGTTTGGCCTTTCTCGCAGCTGAAGATTAATTTCCTAAGTTACAGCTTATTCATGCCACATGAACATGAGGACCTTCGATGCTTTTTTCCTTCCCTTCATCTCTTGCTGAGAGGCAACTAACACAGCCTGGTGCTATTCAAAGTTCTGAGCTTACAATAAAGAATAAGTTCCAGGTCTTACAAAACTTACAGCCAAGAAAGAAAGAATTTTAAAAATTCTTTTTAAAAAATGAATGGATAGAATGAATCCATCTATGAATGAACCAACAAACAATTTGAAGTCAGCAGAGGTAAGTTTTTTGAAAAAGCAGGGAAAGAAGGCCACTGTAAGGTAGTGATATCAGATACAGAGCTAGATGAGGTGAGAATATAGAGCTACACCCAAATATGGGACAAGAGTATTCTGAGAGTCAACAGCAAATGCCAAGAGCTAAGGCCAGAATAAACCCAATTATAAGAACAAAGTGGGTTCAAAGTCAGCCTGAACTACATAGTGAAACCCTGCCTCAAAAGACACAAAGATGGACGGACAGACAGACAGACAGACAGACACACACACACACACACACACACACTGGCTGGAACAGTATAAATAAAATGGAGGGGGATGAGTGTGAGATAAGGTAGGAGAAATGCAGAGCCTAGGCCGTACCTAGGGCCAGTGATGGCGAACTTTTTAGAGCTTTCAATAATATAAACGACCTGCTGTGGCACAGGCGCCCTAAATTCCCCACCACTATTCTATGCTGTGATAAATGCATCTAGACTTTACATTGAGTGCAACAGGAAACTAATGGCATATAGGCAAGAGAGCGACAAGACACAATTTTGGTTACCAGGTGGAAAGGTAAGAATGGGAGTATGAGACCAGCCAGAGGCTAGTACCTAAGTCCAGATGAGGTGTAATACAATGTGGCTGAGATGAGGGAGGAGAGAGTATGCTGGTCAGATTTATTCAAATGCTAAAGTCTGGTACAAAAAGCCTTGCATAGAGGAGCACCAACTCCTGATAATCTCATACACTATCTTCTCCTGAATGACATGATGCAGATTTTATGTTCTTTAAAATTGCCTCATCGTTTCCAATCTCAGTATGCTCATAACTATTCTTTTTGCTTGGCATGCATGCCAGTTTTCATTTCTGACAAAAATTTATTAGTTCATTCAGGATACCTAACTGCCAATAATGTGAAACCTTTCTTAATTTATTAGCTTTCATATAACTCTTCTACTTTGAACTCTAAAACTTTCTTGTATCTTCTAAGTGGCCTATGAAACGTACCTAAAACATACCTCATTGGATAAACAGTAAACCACTGAACTTTCAAGAGAAATTTGAGGGCATGGTTGAAGGGCAATTCCTAAGGAAAAAACCCATGAATTTCATCAGAGACTTAAAGAGCACTCATTCCAACTCTAAAAAAGGTTAAGAAACTATGTTAGAGAAAGCGTTGGAAAATAAAAGGAGGACAAACATCAGAGGAAGCATGAACAAGGAAGAACGGACAAGACAATGAAACAGTGAAATACTTAGACTGGGGAGATGGCAGTAGCTTTACACCTCTCCTCAAGAGTCCTGTGACAGGGCTGTGGAGACAGCTCAGAGGTTTAAGCACCTGCCCAGGCAAGTGCCATCCCTGGAACCTCATGCCATGCTGACCCTACCCCAGACATGTCGTGCTGGCCACCAAGACCAGGCATAGTGGTGCACTACTATAATCCCAAGTGGGGAGGGTGAGACAGGAGGATCACTACGAGTGTGAGCTGCGTAGTGAGACCCTGTACCAAATACATAACAACAACAAAAAGTCCTGTGACTATACTTAGATTACCACTAAGCTAACCCCATCTAGTCCAGGGGATCTGTTCTCCACTGCTGCTAAAGGAAAGACCTTCAGAAAAATCAAGATTTAATTTATCCATTTTATTTTACTCATAATTACTTAAGATTGCTAAAGTTTGTTGGCATACTCTAAGTATAAAATATTAAAAATTGCAATGTGATGGAAGCTATGGACCTAATCTTCATTTTACAAATAGTTAACTAGTAGTAAGCTAACAAGTGCTCATACACCATTAATCACTGAATGATGTAATTAAAAAGGTGATTTTTTTTAAAAAAGAGAATTTTAAAAAATCTGATAAAAATAATACAGAATTTCAAAACAAGATGATAGGAAATTAACAATGGTTGTTATAATGCATAACGTTATCTTCAAAATAGTTGTTCTAGGGCCGGCTAGATAGCTTAGCGGACTACAGCACCTGTTTAGGCAGGGCGCAGTGGCCGAGGTTCAATCCCTGGCATGCTATGCCAGTTTCATGCGGGGCGTACTAAAACTGGGTGTGGTGGTACACATTTGTAATCCCAGCACTTGGGAGGCTGAAGAACAGCAGAATCACTACAAGTCTCATCTACATAGTGAAACCCTGTAGATCCTGTGCTAAATACGTTAAAAACAACAACAACAACAACAACACCCCAAAGTAGGTGCTCAGAACACCAGATACAGTCATACAAAACTAATCAAACAAGTAATCATTAACTGTTCCTCTCAATAAACTAATAGAAACTAGTAGTACAAATATCTTGGCTATACATCTTGTGTGTGTATGTATATAAATATATATATTTTTCCCCTTTATTTCTTTTCTTTCTCCCATTCCAGTTGTTCTTTAAAAAGATGTATTTTATGATATATGAATTGTAGTTCAACAATACTACTATAAAAAAATTAAAACTACTAATGGATTTGGCCAACTTTATTAAGCAGTATATTTCAGACAGCAAATTTATGAAATAGAATAATCCAAATAATGCTGCTTAGCAATTTGATCAGAATATCTTTTTAAGAATGACTATTATCTTAAAAATATATAATTCATACCTTTATATCCCTGTGCATTTTCCCTTTACTGTGAAGATAATATAATCCCTGGAGTTTCAAAAAGAAAAGCAAGATTTTATCACAGAGAACAGCTGAGAATTTTAAGCAATTAACTGAGTAGTCCGCATATTTTATTTATTCCTTACAGAGAGCTTAGTAGTAATTACCCTATTTTAATAAATATACTTTAAAATAGCTGAAATAAAATGAAAAAGTTCATTAAAACCACTAATATTTCTAAAACATTTATGAGTAAGCTCTCCAAACAATACAAAATTAACTTTTTCAAGCTACTGGAACTTGGACTCAGGGCCTCATACACACTAGGCAAACACTCTGTCGTTAAGCTACCTGAGTGCTTGATTTTCAACCCTTTCTTCAGTATTAAGGGGAACATTAAAAATACACTACAAAATTCCACAGTGCTTCAAGTTTAGATTGTATCCTCACATTTAGGCTTTACAGTATCTATGAATATAAAATGAGCTTATCATACACTTTAAAATATATTCAAAGTCTTTAAGAATTTACTAAATTAGGATATTTTACCCTCATTTAACATTTGAGCCTTATTTAATGTCCAATAATTAAACATTGCATCTGTTTACCTGTAGTGTTTCTCTGCTAACATATGCTATCTGCAATTCTGACAGAGGTCCAGTTACTACAAAAGAAAATTAGTATTAGTAAGATTAATAATTGCAAGTTTTTCAGTGACAAAGTTTTATAAATTCTAGTAAAAGACTTATTGTACCTAATTACCTTAATGTACCTAAATAATTCTATTAAAACGTAAGTTCCATTTAGGCAAAGTTTTTATTTTTCATTTGATTTAATCACTGTTGAATTTCTAGTATTGAGAACAGTCCCTGGGATAGAAAAGCAGCTCAATACTCCCAAAATGAGTGGACGACTACAAGTAATTACATTTTCATTTCCATGCTTCTCTGATCCAACATTATCTCCCAAATGTTACAAGAATGTCCAAGTGCTCGCTTCGGCAGCACATATACTAAAATTGGAACGATACAGAGAAGATTAGCATGGCCCCTGCGCAAGGATGATACAAGAATGTCCAAGAGACTCAGGCAGTTTTTATTGATGTTCAACATATAATATGGCTAGTATTAAATGAATATTCTTCCTAAAGGCATTAGCTTTATAGTTATACATAATTTATATTCATTATAAAAATGTCAATCAACAGAGAAGTTTAGAAAGTAGAGATCTCTTCCTTAAATATTACTCAGTAACAAGCAATGTCAAGGGTTTGGTTTATAATCTATCAGATGATTTTATATAACATATACATAATACCCAACTTATAATAGGATTACTGATTGAAAACAAATTATAAGACGAAAATATTTGAAGTTTCTAAATTACAAACACATCTCATTTGCCTAACTTACTGAATGTTACAGCTCAAAAACACAGTGTACTGTGGACAACAGGTGTTTCCTTCTGCACTGGTACAGCTAAGTGGGAGCTACAGCTTGCTGCCACTGCCCACCAACTGAGAGTACAGTAACGCCATAATGCTAGCCTGGGAAAACACCAAAATTCAATATTTAATGTGTGGTTTCTACTGAATGTGTCAGCTGAACCATTGTAAATCAAGGACCCATTGGTACATGGATATGTGTACCACACATATAATTCTGAAATTTGCCCATTCACTTTAACATGGATGAATATCCATCTATCCACCCCTCCATATCTTAATTTTATGATATATGCTTAACATTTCCTATATGTACCACTGCTAGAGTCTGAGTATGTGTTCCTCCAAAATTCATGCTAAATTTGTTCATCACAGCTGTGGAGGGCACTGGAGCTATGGGAAACTAGCGCATACAGGCCACAGACACTGCTGAACCCACTGCAGTCACGAGCCCACCCTTCATGGTGAAGAAGTGTGCTGCACAAATTCCTTCTCAACCTTATCATGAGGGGACAAACAGGAGAAACCTATCACCTGACTTCCATCCCAGTCCTACTTCCTTGTCTCTTCTATTAGGCCCACCTGCCTCCCCCCAAGACGTATCAAAGGCCTCTGCAAAGGAATTTGGGATACTCCAAAGGAAGTTAATAGCTAAATGCAGAGCTGTTGTATTTTTGTAAAGTGGCTGGTAAAGATATCTTCATTTTGCTTTTTAAATTAGTTTGGGAGTTGGTGTTCTTCTTTACATAATTACAAGCTGACAAACATGAAAAAAAATTCATGTTAAAATCTAATCTTCAGCGGGACAGTATAAAGTGGTGGTCCTCTAGGAAGTGAGCAGCCCACAAGGGCTCTTCTGTGACTGGAATTATTCAGCCCTTTTTGCTTTTTCTTCCTTTTCACCATGGCAGGATAACTAGATGGTGCCATCTTTTAGGAATGGCTCTTTACCACACACAGAACCTGCTGGTACCTTGATCTTGGATTTCTCGGGAAACAGTTCAACGCACAAATATGAGAAATAAATTTCTGTTGCTAATAAATTACCTAGTCTCAGATACTGTTATAGCCATATAAATAAACTAAGACAGCATTTAGCCACTATGAAAAATATTTTTTCTTCTTTTCAGTATTAATCACTGAAGAATACAGAAACACATCAGGTGGGAGAAACCTGAATTGAATAACAGTGATGGAATCCTTTGCTAGACAGCTCACTCACATTTATTCAAACTTAAGAGCTAGAAAACATGTTTAGTCCTGTTGTTGAATAACTATAGTATTTTATAATCATGTAAGAAAGAAATCTATTTCACTGAGATTCTTCCCACAATAGAGCTACACTAAAATGTCTGAAACCATATAATTTCTAAGTTTTTAAACCCACTCTTAGTAAGAGGCCACCTTGATGTTTCTGTGTCTGCAAAATGGTAAGATACAATGAAAATAACATCTAGGAAAGAAAATTTTAAAAAATAAACTTTAAAGGGCCCCGTTAAGCTCACAAGTATTAAGAGACTTTTCTAGCAGCCAAATCAAAAAGTGAAATAAAAAAAATAGGTAAAGCTGGAGATTAGCTTAACTGTCTTTAGGAGGTCTATCTTAGTAATCCCCTATCTGGGCACAAACTATTAGGTTCAGGACTTGCAGATGAAGAGTTAAAAGAAATGCCCACATAAAACCAGGGTCACATAAAACTAGGCTTTCCACAGGGCAAAATAGTAGATGAGCATAGATGACCAAGGATTTGTGCTGTCATGGCCTGGAATCTCAGGGAAACTGCCTCCCCTTAGAACTTACTGCCAGAGAATCCTTCACTCAGGTTTAGGGTTCAGGTATGTACATACTAGAAACAAGGTGGGCACTTAGGTGCGGGGCTGGGGAGATAGCCCTGCAAGGACATGCCTTCAAAAGCCAGTCCCTGGGAAAAAGTCTCACTAAGGACAAACTCAGGTTCAAAAGTGTAAATTAAGAAAACAATTTACCATAAAAGAATGTGTTGTGCTGTATCAATAAAAGGCTCTGTCAATCCTTAAAAGAAAATGTACATGCAAATTAATGGAGGAAAGAAGAGAAGAACAGAAGAAGTCTATGTGGAAAAAATAAATGTAAAAGGTTCCCCCTGCTATGGTAGTTAAAAATATATCCACATATTCTTTGATATATCGCCCTTCAACAATTAGAATTGCCTGGGAGTGGGCTGCATTGCATGACTTGCTTCTACACAAAACGACGCAAAAAGCTATGGCAAAAGTAGCAGTATCCAACTTCTGAGGTTATATGGGCTAAGGCCTTGGAGCTCCCCTCTTGGTCTCTCTGGAATGACTTGTTCTGGGGGATGCCAGCTGCCCTATCATGACGACACTCAAGCCTTCCTATGGCAAGATCTACGTGGTAAGGAACTTCCTACCAAAAGTGATTAAGTAGCAGAAGCCTTTGCCAACAGCCATGCAGGCTGTTCATCCTGATAGTAAATTCTCCAGCCCTAGTCAATCTCACAAGGGACTATGAGTCAGAATCAGTCAGCTGTCCTTATATTCAGAAACTGAGAAAACAAATGTCTGAAAAGGTGTTAAACTTTGGGATCATTTGTTATACATCAATAGATAATGGGAACATTTTATCTTTTCAAGAATATTCAAAAATTTGTAAAATCATGAGTAGGTGATGATGGGATTAAGGGCAATCAAAATATAAAAATAGTTTAGTGATATTTTAGAAATAACGGAAAAAATAGGATTGCACCATAAAAATGGATGTTTTGGGCAAATTTTCATAACATCAAAAATGGACCTTTTGGCAAATTTTAATGAGATCAAAATGCAATCTGTTTTACTACTTGAAAAACAAACAAACATACACACAAACATGCAGAAAGCCTCTCATAAGCACCAGCGTTCTTGGAAAGGAAAAGCTTTTCTTTCACAAAATAAAGAAATGCTGGGTATTACACTACTTCTCACATAACTGACAGCATAATATTAAGATGGGAGTGAGGCGCTATGGACAGGAAAGGGGGCACGTGTATTCTTATGCAAGACCATCTAAGTGGTAGTATATGCTGCCATCAGGAAGTTTTATATCCTGGAAATCTGGGTATAGCTGAAAGAATGAACACAAAGGAAGACAGGACTTGGGGTTTTATATGAGCATGAAAATTCCCAGTAAGCCTGCTTGAGAACATCTGGTTACTACAAATTGTCAGCTCTTCCACTGACTTAGTTGGTGATCAGTTTAAGTATGCGATATGGACAAGATGTAATATACATCTAATTCCAGAAGAGAGATTAAATGGATTGGGGGAGAAGATACTTAGAGATAACAACTTATAATTGTCCAGATTTTAAGAAAAGGCTAAATACTCAGAGGTTAAGCACATTAAGTCCTAAGCAAAAAACCCAGGAAAGATTCTTGCTAAGGATCAATAACTACACTGACAAAAGGTCCCAACAACTACAATAGCTAGAAAACAAAGGTGCCAAATTCTCAAAATGCTGAAAGAAAATACCTGGGAAATATGTCTTTTTCAACCTAGAAAATACATCTATGTCCCCTTAAAATACTAGTGAAGAGTAAAGGGCAAGCAGTGAAAGAGATGACCATAAAATGAACTTGCTCAAAATCACCTCAGGAAAAGGAAATTGAATCAAATGAAGGACATGACAGTGGAGAAATTAATGTAAATTAAGGCAAAGGGGGAATAACTTTTCAAATTTATAGTACATAAAAATTACAAGCTTCCAAAAAAAAAAAAAAAATATATATATATATATATAAAGCTTCCAGAAAGTTTGCCCTGCAGTGTAAACTAATGCCGAATCTCTCAATTTTCACTGAATCTTTGAAATAAAAATCACTCATAAAAAAGTATTCCTTAAGTATATGTCAAAGAATAGCCATACTGAATAAAAAATGTCCTTAGAAAAAGATATAATTTTGTCTCCTTTTTTCAATTGGTTGTACTTTTTCCCCTTAATTTCTTATATATTTCTTTTTTTCTTTCTTCTTCCAATTTTACATGCATATATCTGGTAATATGAATAACTGGTTGGAAGACAACACTATGAATTACAATAAATACTGCAAAATTCATATTACATTAAGTGAAATTCTGTATCAGTTGTATTTTTCTCTGTTTTAATTCTAATTTGTACTCTCTTTTAAAAAAAGATATAATTTCATAAAGCAGAAAAATGTTCTCAGCTTCAGAGGCCCTGCACGTGCCCCAGCGCCCAGCCGGGAGTGGTCTCCGTGTGCTGGCCTTCAAGGCTCTGTGCTGCTGCCGTATCCCCGAGAGGGCACTATCCATCCTTCCATTCAGAGTGCGCCTGTCTTTTAAAAAACAACTTAAGGTCCACTTTCCTCATTAAGCTTCCTAAAATAATTCTAGAGAATTCATCATTTATTTTTTCTCATTACAACTGTAATTATACATTAAAACACTACCATGCAAAAGAAAGAGAAACAGAGAGAAGCCTACTAATACATCAGTCTGCTAAGAATATATGTTGGAAAAGAAAGGACATATAAACAGTAAAATTCCCGTCCAAATGGTCTCACCATCTGCTTTACTATAACTGGCCCCTAAAATTACTTCACAGGTGCAACACTGGAAAACAACCTATATTATCTATTTTTTTTTCAAAGTTTTAT